TGCTCAAAAAACTCTTTGATGAGCTTTTGGACATGTAGTGTGGCTCAAAAAACTCGATTTTTTGCTTGACGACATTGTCGACGACTCCGTCGTCGTTCTTAGCGGTCGACGAAGGTTAATTTTAGGTTGGGGTCACGATTGCTGACCAGAGAGAGCGTTGAAGCGTGGTGCCGTGTCGGTGGAGATTGTGTTTATTACTAATATATAAATAAGTTTTATTAGAAGAAATTAAGAAATTGAGAGTGAAGAGTTTATTAGTTTCTCCTCCTCTAGACTATGTGAAATGTTTATGAACGAGCAAAGTATAGATTTGCTCAATGTATGTTTAGTATTTGTACTGATTGGGTCAGCCATCATTGTACAAGTGTATAAAGAAGATATGTTATCTGTTATGCCATCGGAAACATGTTAACTTTCTTTGTTCGCTTGTTAAGTTACACTGATAACAAGTTAACTTTCTTTGTTCGCTTGTTAAGTTACACCGATAACATGTTAACTAACACAGTTCGCTAGTTAAGTTACACTGATAACATGTTAACTTTTACAGTTCGCTTGTTAAGTTACACAATTAACATGTTAACTTTCGCAGTTCGCTTGTTAAGTTACACTGATAACATGTTAACTTACGCAGTTCGCTTGTTAAGTTATACTGATAATATGTTAACTTTGGATGGTAAATTGATAACTATATTTAGTAAATTGTTAACTATAATCCATTATATGTTAACTGTTATTTATAATCTGTTAACTAACACCCTTATCCTGATAACATGTTAGTTTTTACATTTAACATGAGTTCATATTATATTTAACATGTTATAGTTAACTAACATCCTTATCCTATTATTTCGGGTGATATACACGTTAATATAGTTCTCATTTAATATGTTAACTATAATACACATCATGTTAACATAATCCGTTAACACGTTAAATGAGAACTATAATATGTAAATTGATAACTATAATACGTAACTTAATAAATATTAACGTGTTATAGTTAAATGAGAACTATATTAACGTGTTAACGGATTATATTTAACTATAACATGTTAATATAGTTCTCATTTAACATGCTACATGTCATCAAACAAGCAGTATACGATCGTGTCATCATTTTTCTGTGTAAGCTTCTTACTCAAAATCCTCAACTTGATATGTTACAGCTTATGGATAACACGTTACAAATTATAGTTAATGTGTTGGCTTTTACATTTAACATGCGTTCATATTATAGTTAACATGTAAGTTGTGATAGTTATCAGTTTATATATAATAGTTAACATGTTAACTATTATCGTTAACATCTTAACAATAATAGTTAACATGTTAACGATAACAATTAACATGTTAACTACAACGGTTAACATATTAACTTTAATAGTTAACATGTTTACTATTATCGTTAACATGTTACGTGCTATGGATAACATGTTACATATTCCCTTAGGGGGGGTTAGTCATCTAGAACTTAAAACTAGAATTGGGATAATTTGTGGGATAAATTTTTAAGGTGTTAGTCACATAGAACTAGGAAATGAGATATTTTTTTATAGTGTTAGTCAAGTAGAACTTTTGTAGAACTAGAACTGTATTATTTTTTTGGTGCGTTAGTCAAGTAGAATTCTACTAGAATTAGAATTGGGATAATTGGTCATAATTATCCCACAAATTATACTACCTATATATATAACCATAAGTTCTCCTCTCTCAAATTATCCCACACATTGGAAAGAATAAAATTGGGAAAAAAAAAGTGAAACGCCGCCTCCCTCCCTCTTGGTTAGTTTCTCCGCCTAGAAAATTTCTCTGCCATGAAGTCAATCATCCGTTCATTTTTCTGTCTTTACTTTGTTTTTGTGATGATTAGATCTTTTATTATTATCTTCAAGATGTATTACTTTATTGATAGCTTTTTGACGTTAAATTATGTTTAGAGGCCACGGATGATTCCTGTGTACATTTCATTTATTTACTGATTTGGTTTCAGCGATCATGATGAGATTGGTCCAAATGGTTAATGGCTGAAAAATGTTTATTTTTCTTTCTTTATGATGTTATGAGATCTGAACGTCGACATTTATGATCCTCCACTAGAAGCTCCACGAAATGTTGCTGATGCAGACGATGACTCCGATAAAGAAGACGAGTTACAGACTCAACGAACAGCTATAGGAGTTTGGAGAAATTCTATGGCAGATACCATGTGGGATGATAGAAGCCATGTGGGATGATGGAAGTCGAGTCACTCTAGGGATTTAGATTTTTATTTATTTATAAATTATTTTATTATTTGAGATGAATAGTGATGCTTTATTGCATTATATTTTATAGTTATCACTAGATTTTGCTTATCAATATTATATTATTTTTAATATACAATTATTAACAATAGTAATTTATACCCACCATTACCTCCACCAAATTATCCTACCAAATTATGCAACTTCATAATATTATCCATCATTATCCCACCAAATTATCCTACCAAATTATCCTACTTTAAGAATTACCCATCATTGTTCCACTAAATTATCCCAGTGTCAAAAAATTATCACACTTTACCAATTATCCCAGTTCTACTTAAAAAGTTCTAGGTGACTAACCCCCCCTTAAGTGGCACCGTTGAAAATTAATTAGTTAGTATGATAAATATTGCTCTTGCTTATTTGTACATCATTTTTATATCACATTCTGGTTATAGTTCACATATATACAAAATAATTAGTTAGCTTGAAATTGGACTGGTCTTTGTCTCGTACAACGTCGTCGCTGCGTTTTAGAATGAAGATGAGACTAGGTATCAAAAACCTCCCTTACCTTCTCACATCCAACAACAATATCAAATATCTCGACATGAACTCAACCACATAATTTATTTCCAAAACATTTTAGCAAATCAATAGCATACAATCAATCAATTAATCAAAGTTCTTTCTTTCATGAATACCTTGATGCCCCTCTTGTGCAGCCACATGCAACGAATCAAACTCCGACTCATTCATCCTCGCCAAGCTCTCTCTATTATTCCTTCAAGGCCCCAAAAATCTCCACCTTCGCGGGACCTCCTTCTCCAGCTCCAGCATTCCTCCCCTCCAACTCCTCATCCCAATAAGCCTGCACTCCTTCTCCAGCTCCTCGCTATCACAAACCCTCAACCCCCTCCTCTCCTCATCATCCAACATTCCTCCTCTCGCGCTGAAGTGCTTCCTCCCGCTCACATCGCCATCACCCTTACCCTCACCATCCCCTTCTCTGTCTTCTTGATGTCAAAGCTTCTGACGAAAGAGGAGGAGGAGACGAGGGTGACGAAGGAGAGGACAGAGTGGAATAAGTGGGAGTGGATGAGGAAGTAGGAGTGGCCCGGCAAGAGCCTGTCCGAAGCGGAGAGGGCGGGGACTTTACGGCCGAGGAAGAGGGAGTCGGAGCGATAGATGAGGTGGAGGGGGTGCTGCTCCATGCAGCGAGACGCCGGGATCGAACGATCGAAGATGTTCACGCGGCCGTCGGCAGAGATGGGGCGGATGGTGGCGGGGTATGCGAGGGAGCGGTCGGAGATGAAGATGATGGGCCGGGAGGTGATGCGGAGAAGAGTAAGGATTGGGTTGTGGTCTCCATGGAAAAAAAGGACTGGCAGAGAAGGAGAAGAAGAATAGGGGTAGTTTGGGTTTTTTGGGTTTTTTTGTCTTGGGAAATGTAAACAGGGCTGGAACACATTTTGGGAAGTGTAATAGGGCTAATACACATTCGAAATAATACATGGGGCTGGAGCACATCAAGTTTTTATTGGGGCCTTAAAGCAATTTTTCTATATTTTAATCCAAATAAATAGCAATTACATTTCCAATCCAAATAAATATCAATAACTGCATACAAACTACAAGTAAAGCAAACAAAGATGCTTACTTGCCACTGACTTACAAGTAAGGGTGTTAACAGAGCGGATACGGCTCGGATATGACACTTACCATATCCATATCCGCTTACACATCTCGAATACGGATATGGATACGAATATACGTCGGTAAGAAAAATTCATATACATATCCGCCAAAATCGAATATGGTTACGGATATAGATGCTGATATATAAACGGATATGCATGCGGATACAAAAAGGATATTAGAAAACTAGATAGTATTCAGAAATATATAATCATGTGATACAAAAAAAATTCGTTAATATGTTCATTATGATTGAAAAGCTAAGATTAAACATCTTGATCATCAAAATTAATCACAAATCCATAATCTAAGACTCGAAACTATCGTAAGAGTATGACCAATATGTATTCGGATATTTTCGAATACGGATATTTCACTACAACACCATATCCGTAATCATATCCTATCGGTTATAGATTTGAGTAACCATATTCGTATCCTAACAGATACGGTTACAGATATTTCCTCAGATACGGATACGGTTCGGCACCCCTACTTACAAGTCAAAAAAAAGATTGGTCACTAAGTTTGAGACACAATTCATATATATGAAAATTGATAACACATACTGCTTCACAATACCATCACAGCATAAGACGAGCCATACACTTTCCAATTTAAATTTAGAGATGGGATGGCTGGTTGACCAGCGCTACATGAAATTTTCAGTTATAATCAATTTAAAACAAGTAGATACTTGAACATTGTCCTTGCCCATGAGGATAGTAAATCAACAAAAGGAAGATGTTCTATAATAAAATCCACCTGTATAAAAAGAGAAGATTTGATTTTGAAATATACTTGTGTGCGAGGGTCACAAGATAGGTTTCAAAATTCTAAATTGGAAATAGTTATCTAAGAGGATCAGTAGTTTCTTAAAGGTTGGAGATAACATCACAAAGTTTTGAGGCATATTACATGATGCAGGGACGATATGATAAGCTTCTATATCCATAATGAAGGTATAATTGTTGACAAACAATAACAATACAAATTGCTAGCTACAAACAGAAAGATAACTTTTATAAGAGCATCAAATGACCAAGCTATCCTAAATTTCCAAATGACAAATCTTTATGGTAGCCATGTTGAAATTCCAATTTAAAACAACACGAAACCTAGTTAAGTACCATCAATGGCATCATATGACAAGTGTTCCAGAAAACAGCAAATTCTCAAAAATGTTGGAAATAAAAAACACAAATCAAATATCGCAAAAGCTAAAGTTACAGACCCAAAAATAGGAACATGCTAAAGACTAAAGACCTTAAGCTCTAATATCCATTTGAAACAACTTCAATAAATTATAAGAAAAGAGGAAACTATGATAAAGCATCACCACCCTTAATCTCCTTTCTTTCTGAAAGAACAGCCCTCGGTGAGCCTAGCCTTGCCTCCAGTGGGCTGGCAAAGCACAGTCTGGCAGTTACCACAAACAACGACGGTCTGCGAGTGGCTAAACACGGTAGTTCTGCAACAGAAAAATAAATAGTACCAAATTAAATGAAATCCAGCCAAATACTTGAATTATAAAAGGACTATTCATACATGGATTCATTCATAAATTAGTTCCGACAAACTTGCGATACAATGAATTCAATTAAATGTGAAAGTTATGAGTTAAAGATGCACATTATATCTTAAAAGAGACATCTATTAGTTTAAAATCAAGACATTCAAATTGAAAACCAAATTTGTAGCACCCAAATACAAGGTCAGCTGCGTAGAAAAGTAAAACTAATTTTATCTTTAATCTTTGCAATTAGTTTCTATCCAACTATAAACTTAAGGCATTGGCAATATTTTAGGGGCACACAATCAACTTCCAATATAATCATCAGTTTTGGATGTATTAATAAACTTTCCATATAATAATCATTTATGTGAGTGTAATAATATTATGTTTTATGAGGGAGTATGTAGAATTGCCATATCATATGATATTAGTTTTTACATCCAAGTGAACATGGTAGAAATTAGAAGTTAAGTGAAGTGTCACTGAGCGCGATCTTTTGTGATTCACCATAAATTCCATGGGGAAAACCTTTTCAGATGAAGACAATAAGTGTAGAATTGCCATATCATATGATATTAGTTTTTACATCCAAGTGAACTTGGTAGAAATTAGAAGTTAAGTGAAGTGTCACTGAGCGTGATCTTTTGTGATTCACCCTATATTGCATGGGGAAAAACTTTTCAGATGAAGACAATAAAAATTGCAAAGCAAAAATTTAGCACCAGGTCAGTCGCAAACACTACTTAAGTTTTAGACTTTTGCAAATAATTTCTAGAATAATTACAGAATTTTTAGACTCTTGCAAATAATTTCTAGAATAATTACAGGCTTTAGCAAAATTTGCTAAACTATTACTTGATCATAAATCAAATTCAAGGGTCTCCAGAAACCCAATCTTTTTAAATCTAATAATATGTAACTGATTTATCTATACAAAATCTAAGGATAGTGAAACACAATGTATCCTAAAAGTTTTGCAACAAGAATACAAAACAAAATATCAGCACAAACAAAAACAAACCCAAATGACATAACCCTAAGTTGTTAGTTTTGGGGTGTAAATTACAAATACGAGTGTTATCCAAAACAAATTAATGAATTTTGGGGTGCAGTACAAGTATGGAGATTTCGGCGCACAAACAAAAGCCCTAACAAATTTTTGGCTTTTGCCATTGATTTCCACACCCTACAAACTTAAAACATTAGAAAAATTTGCTACACAAGCAAAAGAATTAAATTTCCAATCTTCAAAAATGTTAATCTAACAAACATACCCCAAAGTGAAAACTTAACCGAAAATAATGTATATAACAAGAACTTACATGTTGAAGCAACCTTGGCACTTAACATCCTGCAGAAAATATAGCCAAAGATGAAAATAAATAATTGCAATAAAAAACATGCATTTAATCCAAAAGAGAGATAGAGGATGGGGATGAAAACCATGAAGAAGGAATTTGGGGATTGAACGAGCCTCTTGAGCTTGTGCCTCCTCTTCTCGAGTTCAGCTGGCGGATTCAAGAGATCGATGTCGTTGGGGAGCACCTAAATTGACAAAAACAGTAAGGAAAAAACCCTAAATTTTGAAATTTTTTAGTAGAGAGAGGTTAAAGATACCATCTTGTTGAGATCGCAGAAGCAACGATGAAACTCTCTCTCGTAAATTAGGGCTTTGGGGAGCTGGAGAGCTGCGGCGGAGAGGAGGAAACATTAAACCCTAGATGCTGCTTATATAGAGAAAAGGGAATTATCTATGAACCGTAGGATGATTTAGAAAATGATCTCAACCGTTGAATGCGATATGGCCTCTTTTACCCAAAAAAACCCGTGAACTTTGAGGGTTCCGCAAACAACACCTTGAAGTTTAAAAGCCAGTTGGAAGCCGGCCCTCCAAACTTTCCAAATTGAGCGCATTATTGTGTTTGTTTTCTCCCACACCAGTGTTCTTCTTTCTACTTTACATCAAAATGATGCAAAATTATTTATTACTCTAGCTGTTAACATCTTTTAACGAGATATTTTCACTAGTTTACGGGGATTGATAGCGTTTTACAATTCAGCCCGAAATGGATCAAATTTACCTTGAACTTCTTAATAATGGATCAAATTTACTTCAACTTTTAAATCTGTCCTTCTTTTACTACTGAGGTCGGTATAGATGGTGAATTATGTGAGATTAATTTAAGAATATTTTACAGGTGTATACCTAAGAAAAATGTTGATTCTGCTTTGATAATATGACTCAGTAAAAGAAAGAAATTCATCCCATTACCATGGATCTATATCTATATTTAAACTATATATAAAAGAGGATTATCTTGTCGAAACTTCTGATTTTTATTTTTAAGCTTTTAAGTTTGATAATTTTCAAATATGTCATTAGTTATAAGTAAACCTTAACTAATTATATATAACCTCTTATTAATTATGTGTTTCCTAACTTTTCAAAACCTTTGGTCACACTATTATAATTTAATTATGTTATTTAACAGAAATTTTGAAATTTATCCCTAATTTATCTTCGTATGATATTTAAGTTTCTAGAAACATTAAAAATAATAAAAATGAATTAAGGTTATGCTTTATGTCTTTGGGTTTCACCTCTTATGGAGGACTACCGGTTAACCTTTCATTTTATTAGCTTTTTAAAAGTATGATATAATAGTATAAAATATTATGTGCGTAATTGTAATAATATTAATAGTATAATGATTTTAATAGTAATTTTTTTAAATTAGTAGATTACATTGTAATTTGATAATTATATAATTTAGTAAATTATTTACTAATAGTGTAATAAATTAATATGAAGTAACTAATAGTATTATAATAATGCTATGTATAATATTATTAATTATTAATATATTTAAAAGAGAATACCTTATTTAATATGTTATAATTATTTTAATAAATTATTTATCCAAACTATGATAATTAATTATAAAATTCTTTATACACAGTTTTATCATATAATTTATTCATTTGAACAAAATTGTAATTGTTCAGAATTTATATTGCTATACAATTTATTTCATTATTTTATGGCAAACAAAAAGTATTTGAAGAACATAAAACAAAAGAAACATGCTCACATACAAAACACGTGCACTATATTAGTATACATTAAAAAAATAACTTCAACGTCGGATGGGGGGGGGGGTGAGTAGGTATCTTAGAGCATGTGCAAGCACTTCTGAATTATAATTTAGTTGGCTTATAATCACAAAATAGATCATAAGTCAAATGGGTTATAAGTTAAAATGTTTGGTAAATTTAACGGATTACAATGCGATACGGGGCATCTTAATAGAATAACTACTCCGCATAAAGAGCCCAAACAAGATACGATGGCTCAAAATTGATGAAGTCCACTATAAAAGACCTTATGAATGAAAATAACTCGCTCTAGCAGTGGGTGTCGGCCAACATCACACTACCAGTTTTTGTGTAATTTTACGTTAATTTTTTTCCTTAGTTTGTGTTAAATGTGCTTTCCCCCCTTCTAGTACAAGTATGTTTATTTTTTCTCGTACTTTTGGAGAACCCCATAATCAATCTAGCGTAGCTGCAACTAGGGGTGAAAACAAAGAAAAATTATGAATAAATAGTTTATTAATTATTTGTCTAAGTATTTGGTAGGGGTGGGCATAGGTCGGGTTGGTTCAGGTCCGTGACCCAGCCTGTCGGGTTCAAGGTCAGGTCGGGTTCGACCCAGGCCCGCCCAGGTCAGAGTGGGTCGGGCTTATTTCTCTGATCTTCAAGTATGGGATTAGACACGTCCCGATCCATGACCTGTCTAGGGCAGCCCGGATCGGGCCCGGCCCACGGCCTATAGGCCGTGGTCTGCCCATGAGTTTTTAAACCTTTTCTAATTTTTTGTTTTTAATTTCTAAACTATATTAACTTTATATTAGTATCTATTAAATTATATTTAAATTATTTTTTCTATTTTACTCTTTGTTTAAAATGATATATACACACACATTGTACAAAGATAAACATCACACAGAAAAACACCGCAAACACAAAAATATAAATTGTGTGGACTTTGAAGGAAGATCCACGTCCACAAAAAGTTAATAATTTTCCTTTAGTTTAAATTTAAATTACAAATACAATAGGAAAAAAGAAAAAAAATGTTAACTAAAAACTAATAATTAAACTTAGGGGTCGGGTCGGGCTGGGTCGGGCCGGGCCGATGGTGGACCGAGCCTATTTCTCTAGTCCCGAATCTGGACGGTTCGGGCTGGGTCATGACCCATGGTGGACTGGGCTGGGTCAGTCCGCAGGTCGATCTAGCCCGCGCCAACCCTAGTATTTGGTTACATCCAACTATTTAACAGTAAATGAATAGATTTTAGTATTCGGTCTATAGATGAATAGATTTTAACTATAGTTAATCTTGACCATTTGATTATTTATTTTTATTTTCTGGATAGGATCTTTTGATCATTAAATGTTCATTTATTGATTTTTTTCTAGTTAGATTAATTTATTAAATGATAGATTAATTGTTTATCTAAATTTTATAATTAGTTAATGGCATATTTCAATTGGAGGTCAGTTTATTTGAGAGAAAATTTTAAAATGAAAGTGTTGATGTTAAATATCACACCGCTAAATAAAATCACGGAGTTTGCAAGGGGTCGCTTTCTTCTTTGACTTTATGCATGGTTCTATAGTTAAGATAATTGAGCAATCTGCACACAAAAAGTCGTAAGAGGGCGGGGATAAATTCCCCCGTGGTACATCCGACGATCAAGTCAGTTGATGAACTTGGGTTTGTGTAGTGTGTGCTCTTAAGAGTTTTAGATTGTGAACTTTTTGCTATAGCAAATAGCCTCTCTATTTATGGAAGATGCCGAGGGCAGGTTGGTCACTCCATGGGTATACAGTAAGACGGTAGTGAGGCGGTGATGAGGAGTGAGTTGGAAAATAAGTCATCATTCGCTCCACACGTGATGGTTTGTGAGTGGCGGGAGATCACTTCGGCAGCATTAGGAGCCAGCAGCTGACAAGTATTCAAGACAGTTGAGGAGTGACACTTAATGATGATCATCAAAGATTAAACAATGTTGAGAAGTGACACCTATGCTGACAGATATGAGATAAGGGCAATCATTTAGCTTCGTCGAGAAGCAATGCTCATATGGTCATATCTTCGAGTTGCTGACTTTCGTGTCGACCAACACCGCCTTTCGCATCGACTCAGGAGTGTCGGCATGCTCAACCGGTGGGAATGTTGTCTCGTCTCAGCTAATAATCGTCTTTCAAGTTGACATAAAGAAGTCGACTCGTCTGGGAGGTCAGGATCTCTCGTGTCGACTATCACCGCTTCTCGCGCTGACACTGGGTGTCGACTTGTTGGGCTGGTCGAGATGCTGACTCATCAAGTTATATATTCGCGGAACAGATATGTCCCATAACAGAAAGAAATAAGGAAAAATTGCTTTAAGACCCCAAAACCCAAAAAGCAATGTGCTCCAGCCCCTCATACTATTTGTAATGTGCTACAGCCCCCAATTTTTGAAAAAATTATGCATCTGCCCCTCCAGCTCATAATTTACCCAATATTATATGTTTTTACCCATAATCTCTACTTTACCCCTCCCCACTTCTTCTTCAAACATCTTCCCTCTAATCTCAGCCCCCTCAAGCCCCCAAATGCTAGAAACCCAAAAAACCAAAGCCCCAACAAACCCCCATTAAAACCCAAACAAAACCTTTAAATGGAGCTCCCTCCTCCCCTCCAACCCCCTTCAAACCTTCCTCTCCGGTGAACTCCCCGACCCACGTGCACTCTCCCTCATCCTCTCCTCAACCTCACCCCTCTCCTCCCCTCCCCTCCCTTCCGTTCACAAATCCAATCACTCGCTCTCAAGCTCAACCTCCTCTCAAAACCCCACCTCTCCTCTCCTCCCTCGCCCTCTCCTACGGCCCCACTAAGAGCCTGTGACGCCCCTGGTTTTAACAAGGCTGTGGTCCAAGATAAAATCAAGAATGTCAAACCTGCCATGAACTACAATGTGCAATAGCATGTTTTACCATCATAATTACTATCTATTTAGTAGAATCAACAACAGGTGTAGGTACAAAACAGGCTAGAGAAAATATACATAAGAAATACTAAACGACAGATATTCTGAAGAAATTATCACCACTAAAAAAATAGACCAATCTTTGACAGAAATAACATCTGACTGAATACAAGTGTCTCGACATAGCAAATTAAATGAAATGACATTTAGGCACATCACCTTTACAAAACTAGAATAATAACACAAATGTTCATAAACACATCTACTGTGGAGTTCTGATATAAACTACTAACAATATAGATAAATAACTGCTAGAGCAACTTCATCAACCTACGGCTCTCCGTGCACCTGGCTCGTTACCTGAAAGAGGGGAAACAATGAGTGTCAAGAGCTAGCGAGTAACATCTCAACCAACCCCAGGAGGAAGGGCTAGAAGAAAGAAAAATAGCTGTTAATACATATAGATAGTCAATCATCTACTCCAAAATAAAATATTGGTTTGATATTTAGAAATTTACAACACGAGCATAAGTATGTCTCCCGTTAGGGTAAATGTCCAATACATAAACTGCAAAAGCTTAAAGTCCAACATGATGACTGTAATGGATTATAGTCCAACACGAGGACTTTAATGGATTATAGTCCAATACGATGACTTCAATGGATTATAGTCCAACACGAGGACTTCAACAT